TCCTTCCTAGGTGATGCTTATTGAAGTGTAATACATGGCATTCTACCTGTCTTTTACATGAGTCCTTGAAGAATAAACTCTCAGATTATCTTATCAATATTATTTTGTACATTTAGCAAAAATTGCCCCCTAAATCAGATATGTCAAATACACAGGCCCATAGGATATTCAAAACAGTCCCAAGTACAGTGTGAACCAGATTAAAATAAAATTGGGAAATATTTAACAAAATGAATAAAAGACACAATGAAATATAGATAATAATAATATGTAATTTTCTCAGTCAATATGCAGCCTGCATGTATCTTTACATACAGTTTATTTTTCTATTTGAGTTTGATACCACTTCTCTAAATGAATGATTTTGTGATAAATTAATTGTCGCACCCAGGGAAGAACTAGGCCACATGCACAGAATATATCCTAATGAAGTTTTTTTCCTTAATAGTATTTTATTTTTTCCCAATTACATGTAAAGATAGTTTTCAACATTTGTTTTTGTAAAATTTTGAGTTCCAAATTATTCTCCTTCCATCCCTCCCCTTCTCTCTCCCCAAGACAGCGAGCAATATAGGTTATACATGTGCAATCATGTTAAATATATTTCCATATTAGTCATGTTGTGAAAGAAAAATCACAACAAAAGAGAAAACCATGAGAAAGAAAAAACAAAAAAAGTAAAAATAGTATGCCTCAATTTGTAGTCAGACTTCATAGTTCTTTCTCTGGATGTAGTTAGTATTTTCTATCACGAGTCTTTTGGAATTGTCTTGGCTCATTGTATGTCTGAGAAGAGATAAGTCCATCATAGTTAATCATTGCTCAGTGTTGCTGTTTACAATGTTCTCCTGGTTCTGCTTTCTTTACTCAGCATCAGTTCATGCAAATATTTCTAGATTTTTCTGAAATCAGCCTGATCATCATTTCTTATAGCACAATAGTATTCCATTACATTCATATACCACAACTTGCTCAGCCATTCCCTAGTTGATGGCCATCCCTCAATTTCCAGTTCTTTGCCACCATAAAAAGAGCTGCTATAAATATTTTTGTACATTTGGGTCCTTGTCCTTTTCCTTTTTTTGTGATCTCTTTGGGTTACAGACCTACTAGTAGTATTGCTAGATCAAAGGGTATGTGTAGTTTTATAGCCCTTGGGCATAGTTCCAAATTGCTCTCCAGAATGGTTGGATCAGTTCACAACTCCACCATCAATGCATATCCTAATGAAATTTACTGAAGGGTGTTTTTTGCAGCTCACCAAAGTCTCAGCAGGGCTGGAGTCAGTTTGGAAAGGTGCTGTGCTTCCTTCGGGTCTTGGCATTGGTCTCCACCACTTATGTGGGTATCACAGTGACCTGTACAATCTTGTCAACTTGAGAGTGGCATCACCTTTCCTGATTACTAGTGGGGTTTGCAATATCAAAGATGTGGTAGCAGCATTCTGGATGGGGTGCCATCACTAAAGAGGGTTCACCAGGTTCCCTTCTTTATATAGCAGAGGTCACATTTATGATATACCGAACTGTTTCTGTTTTCTAATTCCCCGAGATGTTAGGGCAGTGTTTAGCTAGATGGGATTGTGACTATAGGCTCACCTTTCTTCTACTTACTGGCAAAAAAAAAAAAAGACACTACTTCATTTTGGCTGAGATGAGTATTTAAAAATTTTGAAAGCAGGGAATGATTTCAAACAGGTTACATTTGTCAGGCAAAGTAAGTAAAATTGCCAAAAGCAAGCAAGAGAATAATCAGTGAATATCCTGAAGACTTCTTTTATCTCTTGAACAGAATCGAGTAGAAAAGACTTTGAAGCAGTTTCTGGAAAAATCCTAGCACTTATCTTTACGAATTTAGAATTTTCCTTTGTTAACATTTCTGAAAAGCAATGTCATTTATTTCCCTAGGGTATAGCGTTTGCAGTTTTAAAAGTTCAAAGATAACAAATAGCCTTATATACATTATGGACCTTGTTGTATAAGCCAGACTTTATTGTAGGCTGTGTCATTCACAACTTAGCTGGTACTAATATATCAGTCCAGTATTTAGGCTGTCCATACCTTCTGCATACGTGACTCATGCACCTCCTTTTGTGATCACTCTCTTGGATGATGTATTCTATTTATTCCAACTGTACATCTCTTTGTTGCCTTTTGAGTGACCTCTAACTTTGATTCTTTAGAGCAGGCCTGCAGAGCCTATGGCCCACCAAAGGATTTTGGGTGGCCCATGAAAAATGTAGGGTTGCCACTGTGCACTCTCCTGTTTGTCACATGACCCGTGGCAACCAACCATAGTTAGTCTGTCTTTAATCTAACCTATCTGTGGCCCAAAGAAGCTTAGCCTAATTTTAATTTTGGCCGCTATCTACTGCCAAGTTGTGCAAGTCTGCTTTGGCGATTGTAGTGGCCAGTGATTGACAGCTGATGTTACCCACAAACTGCAGCTTCTGGACAGCATCCTTGTATGTAAGGTTCTCCTGTTTCATATAAATTCTATACATCTTCACTGACAGAAGTAAAATTTTTTAGTGAGCGTATCTCCCTGTTTTATCAGTTCGTTATTAATCAGAATATCATAAAACTACGTTATTTTTGTTATTTTGCCCCCTTAAGGGAATCTTGTATAATCATGATATATACATAAAAAATACCTTGTTTGGTGTATTTTTTCCTACTGAGTCAAATGTTCATTCATCTTCAAGAAGCAGTAAACAGTGAAGTTTTGTATTATTTATACTTTTCAGTCAGTTGCATGATTTTTAAGTGTGTAGGTTGCTGTAAAATATTTGCAAAAATCTGTATGTTCTCTTATTTTCATAATTTTCATTTACACACTTAATATGTGTGCAGATAGATGATTTTTAAAGATTTGTAGAGATAAGAAAGTAGATTTATAAGTTGTCATTAATGTACAAAAATTTTGATTGCTTTTTTTAGTTGTAATACTATACATGGTTTTTTTAGCCTTGTTTTTTCTTTCCTTTTTTTTTGAATTGATCATGATAAAACTTGATTAATGTTTTATAATGATCCTTTTTGTGTTATTTTATACTGTGCTTGGATCTAAGCAAATAACCTGTAGTTTCTGACTGGAATCTTATTAGTCATGAGCTTTTATTAAGAAGTGTTCATGCTAGGTTATACATACACTATAAATTATGCTAATTATAGATAGTGTTTAGACTATCTAATTATAGATGGTCACTGGAACCTCTTTTACCTTTCTTTCTTGCCCATATACTGATTTGGTGATTCCTGATGTCTTCTCTATATTTTCCCCTTTTTTCTCTAGTGCTGTGCATTCTTTTTTTTTTTATCAGTTAATTTTTATTTTTTTCCTCAACTGTAGGTAAACTTTAAGCATTCATTTTTTAAAATTTTGAGTTCCAAATTCTCTTCTTCTCTCCCTTCCCTCCCTTATATTATACATGTGCAGTCATGCAAAAGATTTCCTTATTAGTCTGTGTTCTTGGAGGTCACATGGATTCATTTATCCTCCACATTTGGTTTCTGCTGGGCTCACTTTATTTACCTTCTGCTTTATATTATGAATTCCTAGCATTGTTCTTCCCCAGCATTGGTACACTGGCCAGGAAATTGACCATCATTACTTTGAAAGGCATTTATTTATGTTTGTTGTTGTATCACAGTAGGCTCATAACATATTCTGCTATGTTGACTTCCATTTTTTAGCCCCAGACCCATTTAATCATATATTCTGTATTAGAGTTTATCTTTCCCAGACCCTTAAGCTCTTGTAGTGTCTCACAGTAGCTCATAAAGACGACAGCAATGTACATTCATTCATCCAAGCCTAGTGACCAATAGTGACTTCTTGATTTATTTCTAAAATTGCAGAAGCTCAGTTGTACTTGACTGTTGCCCCTCACTGGGTTATACTTTACTTCCTTTCTGTTCTCAGTGGTGTTCTTTTCCTGTATTATTTTTCATATGGATCTCAGGATCTTTTCCAGAACGTTTGTTGTCTGGTACGTGATAGGGATGAAGACCATTAATAAGAGGATTGGAGTAATTATTGTCATCATGTGAGATTATCCTGTGCTTGTTAAGGGTGAGCACAGAACTGTAGTAGAGGTGTTTGAAACCATCCTGATGCAAGATGCAGGAGCAGATGGCCAGTAGAAAGGCTGAGAGGCTTTCTAGGATAAAGGAATCTGGTCTTCTGTGGGCTCATTTGTCAAAGGAAGTTAAAGTATAAATTGCATTTTGGAGTATGTGTATCCTTGTTCAAATTAAAAGGTTAAATTTAAGATATAGTAACTAGAGTCACATTGGGAAAAGTTTCCCAGCATATTACATGTGTTTACGTTCTACTCAGTGAAGCTTGGAGAGGCTGTTAAATACAATTGATAGTAAAACTGTAGAGGGGAAAAAAAGGTGCAATCCTGTTATGATTGCTCTATTTCTTAAAATGTTCAGATTGCTTGAAGAAAGGGACAAACATGTATGGCATACCTACATCTACATTTCATTATACCTAACAGTTACTGCAACTTATAGAAATGTTTAGTATTAATGTTTTTGTTTTGTTATTTTGATAAAAGCAATGCATGCATTATATTCTAAAATAATTATATATATCTAAAATATGTATGTATATTTTAAGATAAACTTGTTTATCTTAGGGTCAGATTTATTTTGATGTGAACACATAGCTGATTTTAGAATGTAATCCAGTGGGAAAATATTTTATATAAATAAATTTCATTTTATAAACAATGTTATGGAAATATCATTTATTAAATACCTAGAAATTAACTCATAGTAAGTCATTTTGCTTCTTGAGTAGGATCTCTGCAGACTTAATGGAATAAAAGTATTAATTTGTAGAAATTCTTAATACTCAAATTTTTCTTTATTTCTTAACATTACATTGGAAAACAATTTTCTGAAACTAATATGTATTTATCTTGATTTTAGCCAAAAATGCGAGTAATTTGTATCAAACAATACTTTAATCTTTTCTTCTACCTGAAGGTCGGGCTGGGCGTGTATCTAAAGGGTACTGTTATAGACTCATCTGCAAGGACTTTTGGATCAATTGCATCCCAGATCATGTAGTTCCTGAGATGCTGGTAAGAGTTTAATCTTTCTCTCTCAAAATTAATTTTTCACTGACAATCGGAAAATAATATCGTTTTGTCACAGTAAAATGGATGAACAAATTTTAATTTGGAAATTAGAAAAATTAGTTCTATACCTCTGAGATAAGGTGTTTTAATGCTTTTGTATAGTAAGATAATTTTAAGATTGGAAAATGAGTTGTCTTTTTTTGTGCCTTGTTTTATGGCACAAAATCTTGGAATCTTAAACAGCTATTCTAAAATATTGAAAACTCTGGAAGGAAATATTGAACTTTTGGTTTAAGTATTTAAACTTGTACAGTAAAAGTACCAATCTGCCTCCCTTCTCCTCTGGCATCTAAGAGTATGTTTTTCTTTTGTAACCACATATTACAGGCATTTGTCAGTCAATTTAATAGTGGATTGATTGCTACTATCAAACACTTTTTAAGACCTCACTTACTTGGATGTTTGAGAGAAACAATTTAATGGAAAAACTGTTAAGAGTGTATCTGTTTGGGTTCTCTGTGTGCTGTATCTGTGATAAATTACCTGGACCATATTCTCTCATCTGCTGCATTTTCATTTAAACTTTTCTTAGTTGCGGGGTTATGGTAAAGGGAGCACTTTACAAATTCTGAAGCACCAGTGAAAGGGGCACTATTATAGGCTTCAGTAGCCTATAATAGGGTTTAGAATTGTATGGATTCTAGTCCTCCTTCCTCTGACACATCACAACCCATGTCTGCTTAGTATAGTTCATCCTCAAGAGTTCCTATGGCTAAAAAAGGTATTGTCCTAGAAATTCCGTTTCAAATCTATTGAGGGGAAGAGTTTGTGACCAAACAGGGATATAAAAGATCATAGAAGATAAAGTGAACAATATTGATTTAAATAAAATTTTAAAACTTTTGCACAAAAACCCAATGCAGTAAAATAAGAAAAGAAACAACTAAATGGGGGGAAAAATCTTTGTAGAAAATTTTTCTGATAAAGGTCTCATATACAAGATATATAAGGAACTGATTGAAATTTGTAAGAATGAAAACTGTTCCAAATAGACAAATTCTGGTCAAAGGATATGAACCAACAATTTTCTTTCCCCTATTAATAAGAATTTATTTTCTCTCTCTTCCACTCCTTTTCCCTTGCTGAACAAAAAATATCAAATATGCATAGTCAAACAAAGGAAATTCCCTCATGTCCAGAAATGTATATTGTCTTGTTCTTTATTTTGATTGTTACCTCTGTGACAGGAGTTGGTAAGCGTGTTTCATCTTTGGTTCTCTGGAATTATAGTTTGTCATTGCTTTGATAAGATTTCTGAAGCTTTTTTAAAGCTGTTTTTCTTTATTTTGTTGTTTTTATTGTATAAATGATTCTTATATTTCTATTTACTTCTCTCTCAGTTCATATAGGTCTTCCCAGATTTCTCTGAAACTAAATTTCATCATTTCTTGTGGCATAATAATATTCCATTATGTTTTTATATCATAATTACTCTAGCTGTTCTTCAATAGGTGACCCACTCCCTTAGTCTCTAGATTTTTGCTATTTCCAAAAGAACTGTTATAAATATTTTTATACACATGAGTAGTTCCCTGTTGTGTTTTTTTTTTGTCTCTTTGGAATATAAACCCTAGTAGAGGTATCTTTGAGTCAAAGCACATGCACAGTTTAGCAACTTTGGAGCATAATCCCAACATTGCTTTCCAGAATGGTTAGATTACTTCACAGTTCTGTCTGTGGTGCACTAACGTACAAGCAGGCAGTTGTTAAGGAAGAAGGCCAGGCAGTCAATAAGTATGTGAAAAATTCTCCAGATCACTAATAAGTAGAGGGGGAAAAAAATCTGAAGTTCCCCCTCTTCCCTGTTATGTTGCCAGAGATGGCAAAAAAGGAAAATGATGATTGTTGGAGGAGCTTGAGGGAAAAGAAACTTATGAATGCATGCTATGAAAATACTCTAGAATGGCACCCAAAAGTCAGTAAACTTGGAGAACCTTTGATCTGGCAATATTTTCACTATTTCTGTACGTAAGAGTAAAGAAATAGGGAAAAAAAAACCTCATGGACAAGAATACTTACTTTTTTCTGTAGTGACAAGAAACTAGAAACTAAGGTGCTACCCCCATCAATTGGGGAATGGCTGAATTGATTTGGTATATGAATGTAATGGGACACTCTTGTCATAAGAAATGACAGAATAAATAGTTTAAAGAAAACTTGAAAGAGTTGTATGAAATGATGGCTGAGTCATGTTAGCAGGAGGAGAAGTTTATTTGTAACAGCATTGCAAAGATAAACAACTATAGATGATTTAAGAACTCTGATCAATGCAAGAATCGTCAATCAAGAAACCATCAAAAACCATCAAGATTCCAAAGAACCAAAGATGAAGCATGTTACTATCTTTTGATAGAATGGACTCAAGGGTCAAAATTACATGTGTTTTTGGATGCAGACAGTGACTTTTGCTTGACTCTATATATTTGTTATAATTTTTTTTTTATGGAAGAAGTGAGAGGGAGAGACAATAAATGTTAATTTTTTTAAAAAGTGTAATGAAAACAGAATTAATTATTCTGTGGTCAAATCATTGATAAGCTATTTCTGTAATTATTGAGGCTGGTCCTTAGATGAAAGAATATTTCCACTTGTCTCATAATTGGAGTCTTTGAAGCTTGGTAAGATCTGTCAGAATTTGTGCTCTACTGACTTAATCTTCAGGAACTTCCACATGTTGATATGTTCTTGGACTTTACAGAAGATCAAATAAGTGACTAGTCGAAGAAGATTTCTCTGTGTCTTGCACAGGAGCAGTTGACAAATTCTTATGGTACTTTTCCCTACATGAGGATCTATGTAATGCATACCTTCTTAACTTGAGTTTCTTGAAAAAGTTGATCCACACTAATGGATTCAAGTACTCTTTTTCATTAGATGATGAAAACTGTTTAATCTGACATGTTATACTTCTTGTCTTAGATTTCAAGAAACTTATGCCATAGCCACATTCACAACCAAACTGTAATAAAAGGCTCTCCTTGGGTGATTTCTCACATGTTCTGAATATTCCTTATAGATGCCATTGGTTTTGTTTTTATTATAGTAAGTTTTCTCATTTTTATACATTTCAATAGATTCTCTCCCTCTGCTGCCATAAATTGCAACCCATTCATACCTCATTCAGTGTGATTTTTGACCATGCCTTCCCATAAATCCTACATAGTGGATCTCTCCATGTTTTAGACCTTCTTCTAGTTGTCTACTTTTATATGATATTTAATTTGGTAAGCCATCCTTAAGTTATTTTGGAAGTTAGGTACAGTGTAAATCCTAAATAAATGAATAAGATGTTTTCACTGAAGATAGATAAAATTATATACTTCTTTATTGAATAAGTAATAAAGTACAGCATTTCATCATGTTTATTAATTACTCAGTATAAGAAATATTGGATTATGAAAGTATTTGCTGAAGCATCTTGGGACTCCATAAAATAGATTTTCTTAAATGTTATTTTTTTCTTTTATGATTGATGGGATTTTATAATTGGATGTCTTGAAGTGTGCTAGTTATTTTAAGTTCTGATTGTAGAAACTTGCTGGATTTTGTTAGGTTTTTCTTATTTTGTGGATAATGAGCTTCATTTTCTGTGTGTGTATGGTTTTTTTTTTTAGTCAAAAAAGGATGCCCATCATGTTTTGATTATAACTGTTACTGAAGTACTGGGATTTTCCAGTTAAAGTTGTTTAATTTAGTGTGGATTTTTTTCCTTTATATTCAGTCTGAGTTACTACTCCAATTCATTTCTTCTCACTATGTTATTAACTTTATTCTTGTGACAAGTTGCTATAATCTTTTTGCTAATATTTTATTTAGAATTTTTGCATCTATATTCATTAGGGAAATTGGTCTATAATTTTCTTTCTGTTTTGACTCTTCCTGGTTTAGGTATCAGTACCACATTTGTATCATAAAAAGAATTTGGTAGGACTCATTCTTTGCCTATTTTCCCAAATAGTCTATATAGTATTGAAATTAATTGTTCTTTAAATGTTTGATAAAATTTACTTGTAAATCCATCTGGCCCTGGAGATTTTTTCCTAGAGAGTTCACTGATGACTTGTTCAGTTTCTTTTTCTGAAATGGAGTTGTTTAAGTATTTTGTTTCCTCTTCTTGTTAATCTGGGTAATTTATATTTTTGTAAGTATTCATCCATTTCACTAAAACTATTGAATTTATTGGCATACAGTTAGGCAAAAATAGTTCCTGATTATTGTTTTAATTTCCTTTTCATTGGTGCTGAATTTTCCCATTTCATTTTTGATACTGGTCATTTGGTTTTCTTCTTTTCTTTTTTTAAATCAAATTAACCAAACGTTTATCTATTTTATTGATTTTTTCATAAGACCAGCTCTTAGTTGTATTTATTAGTTCAATAGTTTTCTTAGTTTCAATTATATTAATCTCTCCTTTGATTTTCACTATTTCTAATTTGGGTTTTAATTGGGGATTTTTAATTTGTTCTTTTTGTAGCTTTTTTAGTTTCATGCCCAATTCATCAATCTCTTCTTTATCTATTTTATTCATGTAAGCATTTAGAGATATAAAACATCCCTGAAGGACCACTTTCACTGTATCCCATAAGTTTTGCTGTATCCCATAAGTTTTGCTATGTTGTCCCATTATTATTATTCTCTTGGATGAAGTTATTGATTGTTTCTATTATTTGTTGTTTGACCCACTCATTCTTTAGGATTAGATTATTTAGTTTCCAATTAGTCTAACTTACCATGGCTCTTTATTACATATGATTTTTATTGCATCATGATCTGAAAAGGATGCATTTAATATTTCTGCCTTTCTGCATTGGATTGTGAGGTTTTTATGCCCTAGTACATAGTTGTTTTTTGTTTAGGTGCCATGTACTGCTGAGAAAAAGGTATATTCCTTTCTATCCCCATTCAGTTTTCTCCAGAGGTCTACCATAAGTAACTTTTTTGAAATTCTGTTAGATTTATCTAGTTCAGAGAGGGGAAATGTGAGAAACAACTCATTCAGATTCAGTAGGGATTAAGTTAAAAGCCCAGTTTATTACACCGTTGTAACTGCAAGTGTCCTATGGAGTAGGACACATTGTACCAAAGCAGAAGTTCACTATTTATCTCTAATCCCAACCGCGAAGTCCCTCCTCTATTTCGTCATTGGCTGAATACTCCAGAGTGTACAATTTTCCGGTATGCCTGTTACACATCTACTCCTTGACATGTCCTGCCTCCTTCTTCATACATCACATGTTCAGAAAATGATTGTAATCCAAGCTCCTTTGCCTTACAGAATATAATATTTAAGCAGTCCAATCTTTTTAATGTAGAAGCAAGGTCCTGCATAATCCTGACTGGGGTTCCACAATATTTTAATTGTTTCTTTCTGGCTTCTTGCAGTATTTTCTCCTTGATCTGATAATTCTGGAATTTGGCTACGATATTCCTTGGCTTTTTCAATTTGGGATCTCTTTTAGGAGGTGATCAGTTGATTCTTGTGATGACTGTTTTGCTTTCTGCCTCTGGTTCTGGGACCTCGGGGCAGTTTTCCTTGATAATTTGTTGAAAGATGCTGTCCAGGCTCTGTTTTTGGTCATGGCTTTCAGGTAGACTAATAATTCTTAAATTATCTCTCCTGGATCAATTTTCCAGGTCAGTTGCTTTTCCAATGAGGTGTTTTACATTTTCTTCTATTTTTCCATTCTTTTGATTTTGTTTGACTGAGTCTTGATGTCTCATAGAGTCATTAGCTTCCACTTGCCCAATTCTAATTTTTGACGAATTGTTTTCTTCAGTTAGCTTTTGTACCTCCTTTTCCATTTGGCTAATTGTACTTTTTAATGAGTTGTTTTTATCATTGTACTTTTTTCCCCCCATTTTGTCAATTGTAGTTTTAAAGGAATTGTTCCATTTTTCTTCTACCCCTCTTATTTGACTTTTAAAATCCTTCTTGAGCTTTTGTAAGAAAGCTTTTTACTCTTGAGACCAGTTCTTATTCCCCTTTGAGGTTTCAGGTGTGGGTATGCTGACAATGTTGTCCTTGGGTGAATTTGTGTTTTGATCTTCCCTGTCACTAAGATACTTCTCTGTGGTCACTGTTTTACTTTGTTGCTTCTTGCTCCTGTTGTTTGCCTTTTTTCTGACTTTTAAAGTTGGTCTCTGCTTCTGGGGCACAGAGGACACTGACTCAGGATTCTGGTGCTGGGGCTGGAGGCCTGGTTACTGGGGCCTCAGATGTTGACAGCTGGAGGCTGTAGGAGTCTGGTAGCTTACTTGGTGCCGAGCTGTAGCTGGTGGTGGCGGCTGTTGTGTGCTTGGTGTTGGTACTTGCCTGCTTCACCACCGCAGGGCTCAGGATCTCCCTCTGGTTTGCTAAAGTGGGGCTTGCCACTGGCTTGCTGGAGACCTCCCTTCCTGTACTGGTCCCCTTCAGCCAAGAGAGACCTTTCCATCAGTCCCCCTAGCCTCCCTAGCTAAAAGATTGCTATATCTCATCTTTCAGCTGGTTCCACTATTCCAGGATTTTTCCTGGGGCAGTATTCTCTGGGTTTTTCAAGGTCAGTAAGGGAGGGTGAGAGTGACTTACTGCTTACTCTGCCATCTTGGCTCTTCGGAAGTCCACTATGTTCTTAACTTTCTACAGTCTGGCTTCCAACCTCATCATTCAGCTTAGATTGTTCTCTCCAGAATTACCAGTGATCTCTTAATTGGCAAATTTCACAGACTTTTCTTGATCCTCATTCTCCTTGATCTCTTTGACACTTTAGATACTCTTATCTCCTTAATATTGTCTTCTCTTTAGGTTTTCAGGACACTGTTGTCTCAAGGTTCTCCTCCTAGCTATATGACCATTCCTCTCAGTCTCCTTTGCTAGATCTTCATCCAGGTCATGACTACTAATTGTGGATGTCCTTGAAGGGTCTGTCTTAGGCTCCTCTCTCCCTTTCCCTCTTCCCTTCCCTTCATCAGTGGATTCATGGTTGATTGGATCTCATGGATTTAATTATCAAATTTATGCTGATGATTCTCAAATCTACCTATCCTCCCCTAGTCACTATCCTAATTTCCTGTCTAATATATCCTGCTATCTGTTGGACCTCTCAGACTGAATGTCCTACAGACATTTTGAACTCAAAATGTCCAAAACTGAACTCTTTATCTTTCCCTCCATTTTCCCCCCCTTCCAAACATCACTTACCACTATCCTTCCAGTTTTCCTAGGTGTCATTGTTGACGACTCATTCTCTGTCATCTGTCCTATCTAATCTGTTGCCAAGATTGTTTGCGTGTTGTCTCCCCTATTAGATTGTGAGCTTCTCGAGGCCAAAGACTATCTTTTTGCCTTTTTGTGTTTCCCCACTGTTTAGAATAGTGCCTGATCCATAGTACACCCTTAATAAATGTTTATTGACTGACAACTTAAGAATTAACCCATATTAATTTTTATTTGTCAATTAAATATGAGTTATTAAGTGTTGTATATTTTTTAGTCCTCTCAAATGTAGGAATCTGAGGCCAACAAGATTTTGCTTTATTTCTTACTTTATTTGGACTTTTAGATTCAGCTAATATTATCTTAAGTCTCAGTTCTTTCCTTGGGTTTATCACTTTGACCTCAGACTAATTCCTTTGTCCAATTTCTTTCTTCATTATTTTTTCATTAGCTAAAACTGATGAAACTGGTTTGTTAATGAGATATTAATGATATAGATTTTTCTTTTGAAACTTAAAGCCAGGTTTCAACTCTATCATCTTTGATAGGACTATTTAGTAGGGTAGGCTGCCTTAGAAAGTTGAAGTGCCTGAAACAGTATGTCATTCTTTGTATTTTTATATGCTGTTATTTACTATTATATGTGTAAAATCTCCCCAGCAGAATATGAGTTCCTTAAGGGCAGGGGGCTAGTTTTTTTTCTTTGTATCTCTAGCACCTAGCCTAGTCCCTTGTACCTTGTAGGCAAGCTTAATAAATGGTTGCTGCATTGAAAATAAAAAGATAGAGATACAGATATATGTGTGCATATATATTTGTATGTGTATCAGACCATGGCCAAGCTAGTGATGTTTCTCCACATTAGCTAGGCAGATATAGTTTTTCACCAGGCGCATAGTTGAACTTTTACCTGCTTGCTATAATATCTGTCAGAAGAGCTGGTTATATCCACCAGCATCATCTTCCAAGACACGGGGTCAGTGCCACCCCAAGAAGAGACACTGGAGGTGGACTTGTATCAGAGCATTAAATGTGAGATTTCCACAGCAGAGTGTCTGAGGTTGCCTGGTGTTGTGGAATAAGCAGTGAAGTGTAGGAGTTTGAGTCCCAGCTCCACTCACTGCTTGCTTAGCATGTAAGAGCTCTGTGACCATTAGTAAGTTATAGCATCTGATGAACCTTTGTTTAAAAGCACAGAACCAAAAAAAAAAAATCTCTTTTCCTTGGTTTAGAAGTGTGTGTGCGTGTGTGTGTGTGTGTGTGTGTGTGTAATAATCCTGGCTACTTATCTTATAGTCTTGTTAGGAAGAAAGTCTTGTAAATATTAAAGCTGAAGAAATGATCTACTATTACTGTTTAATTTAATTTCAATTTAATTTTTTATTTTGTTAATTTTTAGCGATGTCCATTAGGAAGCACAATCTTAAAAGTAAAGTTGCTTGATATGGGTGAGCCAAGAGCTTTGCTGGCAACTGCTCTTTCTCCACCCAGCCTTGGTGATATTGAACGGACCATCCTTCTGCTAAAAGAGGTAGGATTCTTTGTCTAGGCTTTCTTGATGGGGAAAGGGAATTTCACTGCTGCCATTTTTGTCGTTTTTGTCAGTTTGCAAGGTGTGAAGGTGAAACCTCAGGGTTATTTTGATTTGCATTTCTCTTAATACTAGTGATTTGGAGCACTTTTTTTCATGTGGTTGTGAATACTTTGTAGTTCTTTGAGAACTGTTTGTTCATATCCTTTGACCTTTATCACGGAATGGCTTACACACACACACACACACACACACACACACCCCACACAGAGAAAACATATATACAGATGCATATACATATATATATACATACACATGTACATATATACACACTATACACACACATTTATTCATTCATTTATTTGTTTTTGTTTCTATATCTTGGATGTCAAACTCTTATCAGAGAAATTTAATGCAAAGTTTTGCTTCCCCATTTGACTGTTTACCTTCTTATATTCGATGCATTGATGGTACAATAGCTTTTCAGTTTCAAGTTCCTTCTGTTATGAACACAATATTATGTTTATGCTGTAAGATACTTTAGATTTTCTACTATTTTTTCAGTCTTTTGAATTAGCTTTTTTACTTTTTCTATTTTAATATTTTATTTCCCCCAATTACATTTAAAAATAATTTTTAATATTTGGTTTTTTTAATTTTTGAATGCAGTCATTCAAAGAAAACACAGATATCCCCCCCCCAAGAAAAATAAAGGAAAGTAAAGAAAAAGTATGCTTCAGTTTGTATTCAGACTCCATCAGTTCTTTCTCTGGAGGTGGATAGCATTTTTCATCCTAAGTCCTTCAGAATTGTCTTGGGTCATTGTATTGCTGAGAATAGCTAAGTCTTGATTTAGTTTTAATGTTTCTTTTCTTTTCTTTTGAGTTTTTACAGAGTTTATTTATGCTCTGATGAAAAATTATCTTCATAGATAAACATCATCCATAGTACCTTTTATTTCTTCTTTTTGCCAGCATCAACAATTGCCTTTGCAGTACTGCTGACTTTCTTCGTTCTGTTCTTGCATTCCTTTTACTGTTTTCTTGATGTCTTTTTCTTCTCATACAGGCCATGCCTTGCAAGTCTGTATTTTGGTTCATTTTTCTTTGCATAGTCAAAGGAATCATAAGTCATTCCAAAGCCTGTTGTTTTGCCGCCACCAAAATGGGTTCTGAATCAGAACTCAAAAAAGATGTCTGGAGTCGTCTTGTACATCTTGGCCAATTTTTCTCGAATTTCGGTGTTGGGCACTGTGGCCTTTCCAGGATGAAGGACAGCTATTACCATCTGTTTACGCTGAAGAAGTCTGTTTGTCATGAACTTCCTGGTTCTGATGGTTACAGTATTATTCATGATGGTGGTGGCTGGCTCCTTGAGCCGCAGGACAGGGTCTCCTGGAGTCATTGGCTGCTTTATAAATTTGTTGAATTCGTGCCCCAAGCTGTTTTTTGTTGTTGTTGTTGTTGTTTGAGGCTTTGCAGACAGATGTTTTGAAGTCATTTTTAGGTTTGTGTCTCAAGCATCCCTGTCATCATGCCAGCTCTCTATGGTTAGGATTCTTTATATATTTACTCATTTTTCCAGCCTTCTTCCTAACTTTGAACTTGATGAGAAGGCCAGGCTCTGGGAACTTCTAGAGGAAAGTCTGAGCTCATACTGTTTTTGCTTTCTTTGGTTTTGTGTTATTCCAAGCTTTTAGGCTGAGTTTAGGCCTGGGACCTATAACTTCTCAGTGTTTCCAAAATGTTCCAATTCAGAGTAAAATCTGATAGCTGATCCCACCCTCTGAATTCTACCTGGGTTTGGATCTGAGCAGCTGCTGCTAGCCCCAGCTCTTATCTAACAGGAGGCTTCTCTTTGGTCTGGGATTCCTGCCTGGGTGATTCCTCTATAGTCTTCAGATTGGGCTGGAAGCTAAAACTGAGATCCTGCTGTGCTTCAGAGCTATGAGCCACACCAGTGCTGCTTGCTGCTGAAAGTGCTCCATGCTACTCAGGTGCAGGTGCTTTCTCAGGCCACCTTGGGTCTATGGCCCAGGTGGGGCAAGAGGGAGCTTGCTGAATGTCTTGGTCTGTGCCGTCCATCTGCCATCTGAGCCCCATCCCCTCCGCGGGAAGCTTTGGAGCTTCTTGGTGTTTGCACTGAGTTTCTGATTTGTGTAGCCTTCTACTCACAAAGAAGTTAACTCCTTTCCTTCTGGTTGTCAAATGGACAAAGTATGTCGTATATAATATAATCTTCTACTCTTGTTGGCCATTTTTGGAGGTTTATTTCTTGTATTCTTTTCTTCCTATTCCCACTCTGCACAACTGAAGTATTGGTGTGATAGCTATCTGTCTGTCTGTCTGTCTATCTATTTTATGACCACCTAAAATAAATATGAACTTTCAAACATGATAAATGCATTTATGGTTTTTAACACGATAAAAGCATTTATAGTTTTAGGTTTTACAGTTTAAAAAGGCCTTTAGACTTTATAAAAAGCTACATTAAAGAGATCATTTGGAGCTTATAATTTTTTTACATAAGAAGGTTGACTTATGTTTATTCTTTACATTATTGTCATAATTGCCCACACATATAGTATTGTAAGGTGGGGATAGTCTTGTCATTCTCCAGAGTTGAGAAGTTTGAAGAACTATTACTTTTCCCTCTTCTTTGATTAAGAATTTCTCTCCCTTCATTTTTCTTCTTCTTCATTGCTGTAAACCCACTTACTGCTTAAGAATTACACATTTCTTAGTCATCTCAGCCACTGCTTCTTACTATTGACAAGGATGGGACAAGGTGCAACTGTGAGAATCCTGTCTTTCACACCTGTGGCTACAGCAGAGGGAAATTTCAGTAACTCATTTCAAAATTGAGGAAACAAATTACTAAATTGTGTAAGGCACTCTGCTAAGCTTTGGAAGATTTGCACCTGGCCAATTAAATTGGACCTCAGAATGCATTTTCCATAGAAACAAACATATAATATTTAGGTTCTATCATGTCTAGAATAGTGGCATATTTCAGGTTCATTTTGGGTTAAGTTGTTTGGGAGTAGTCCGAAGGTGTGGAACTGTCTTGGAGTCTTAACTAATCAGGTATGATGTTTCTATGGGACAATATTCTGAGACTCAACTAACCTACAAATGAATGAGCTTTAAGAAAATATATCAGACCTTTATTCTGTGTTGTTGCATGTCTCTATCTCTCTTTGTCTCTCTGTCTTCTTTCTCTCTCATACACGTACATTTAAAATTAATTGACTAACTATATGTTCACAGGTTTTAGGACTATTTCTGCTGTGCTTTATAAAGTAAGGTATATCTGCCTATATTGCTAATAATATCAGTTCATCACTTTATAAAGATAGGAGCACTTGCTGTTAGTGGGCAGAGAGAAGAAGAAAATCCCCACGATGGTGAACTGACTTTCTTAGGACGGGTTTTGGCCCAGCTTCCTGTGGATCAGCAGCTTGGTAAATTAATAGTACTTGGACATGTCTTTGGCTGTCTAGAAGAGTGCCTTATCATAGGTGAGTATAAGAACGGAAAGATGTTTATGAGTAGTTTGGGTAACACCGCTCTGAAAAAGGTCATCTTTTCTCTTTCATTAGCTGCATCTCTCTCATTGAAGAATTTTTTTGCGATGCCTTCCAGACAGCATCTTGATGGATATAGGTATTTAATTCTCCTATTTTTAGTGTCCGCTTACCTAAAGGATTTTTGGATGACTTTTTTTTGTTTAATTCACAGGAATAAAATGAAATTTTCTGGCAACAGTAAGAGTGATTGTATTGCACTTGTTGAAGCTTTTAAAGTAAGTTTTCTAGTGTTTAGTAAAAATATGATTTTAACAAACACACGTACTGTTACATTTACCGCTAAAAAGTTTTGATCTGAAAGCTTTTAGTAACCTGATAAAGCTTCAGGTTTTCCCACTGGAGCTCATACTGTAAACTTCACAGTAATCTTAGTGTGATACCTCATGACAGTTGAAGGTTGACCTTGGTTTCTCAAAGCCTGTGCCAGCAGCATTCTGTCTTTGATAGGCTTTAACATGCTGGAAGGGCTTTAGATTGGATCCTTGCAATACATGTGTCTGCTATCCGAGGCATAATCTAAGTATGGAAAGGCTTGTCAGCAGTTGATAGGGAATGAATATTTTTGGCCACAGAAATTCATTAAACTCATAAGGTGCTAAAATCAATAAAATATTTGTAAAGATATTGATGACAACATTATTGAATTTTTAATTTCATAAACCACATGTTCTTATTTCACAATTTCTTTGAATAAATTAACTTAAGCACTATATTTAAGTTTTTCCCTTCAGTCAAAATGTGTATAGAATTTCTGCACAGTATAATTAGCTAATGAAATACTTGGAATTTGTGGAAAATTTTTTAGACCTGGCAGGCCTGCAGACAAAGAGGAGAATTTCGTCATCCAAAGGTGAGCTATTTTTCCTTTTTGTTTTCTTGTACGTTGAATTATGTAAGAGAAGGGATTCCAGAATGTTTTCATTCTCTTTGTATCCATTAGCTATGGAACATGATGACACAAAAATGCTAAGCTATGCACAGTAGGCTAGGTGATAGGGGTTAGTCCTAAAGGGTCTGGCACTAAAATTAGTATGATAACAATGCTAATATATTACCTTTGTATAGACTTTTCAGTTTTGTAAAGCACTTAACTCATACTAGTCTTGTGATGATAGTACATCAAATATCTGCATTTTAATCAGTGTGTGAACTTCCACCGACATAGATTCTAACTGATTTATAATTTTAGACTCTTTGAGGGTTAGGTGAGGCTCAGAGAGGCTGACCTGTGGTTTCACACATTCATTGTCAGAGGTGGTTTTTGAACCTGGGTCCCCTTAACTACAAATTCAACATTCTGTGCTATGACAGCCTCCCTCCCTTGGAGTTAGCTAGTAGAAATATGTATTATCTCCATTTTTGAGTCGAGGAAACTGAAGGTAAGAGCCACATAGTAAAAATTAGAGTCAGGACTTAAACCTAAGTCCTCAGACTCTCAAAATCCAAATTGAGCCAACTTTATCTAATATTGTCCCAGATTTCCAGTTGATAACTAGTCTGTTGCCAGGACCAGCAACTAGTTTAGCTGTAATGTATCAGTAAATCCACACAATATGTCCTAGTAGAACACCTGCCACTAAATCAAGGAATCTCTGACCCTTTGTGTTCGCTTATTTTTTGTTCCAAGTTTTAGGCATTATGTTTAAACTTCCCTCCATCACTGGGACACACCATGACGTAGTGGATAGATTGCCTCAGAGTCAAGGAGACCTTGATTCAAGTCCTGCCTCTGACACATCCTGGCAGTGTGACCCTGGGCCAGTCACTTAGCTTCTCGGGGCCCAGGCACTCCTCTGACCATTAGCTGTGGATGTTCATCTACATTGATAGATGGGGTTTCTTATATCATTGAAATCGTAGGTACAGTCCAAAATTCTTTCATTGTATTTTTTTGTATTTGTGCACATTAAAAAATAAACCCACTTCATTTGTGCATATGAAGGTACATTGTATCTGTGCTTTCATGGAGAATTGGGACTTTAGGACAAGCAGTGCATGTTTAACTTGAAGGATTGATGGCATTGGTCAGTGTGACTAGCATAAATATAAATTTGTTGGATCAGTTGAAGAATAGAAACTTTATTTGCTTATTAACACATTAATAGTTTATCTGTGTAGTAATTTTATGGTCATACGAGTTCAAAATTAGAGAATAATGTTTAGCTCTTGCTAACTTAGACATTTGTGTAATTTTAAAGGATGAGCTTGACTGGGGACGGTTAAATTATATTCAGATCAAGAGAATTAGAGAGGTAGGTTGTCATCACTCATTGTATCTCCTTGCATAGTTTTTTTAATTTGTCCTCAAATATTTGAATGCCTGTTTTGTTCAAGGCATTGTAGAAGATACAGAGAAATATAAGGAATGATCTTTGCCCTTGAAAGAGCTTATGATTAGTTGTAGATGTTAAATATATGACTTAGTTAAGTAAAAACATAAGACAGTAATACTGGAGATCATAGCAACATGAAACATTAGAGCTGGTAGAGACCTTGTTTTAGTTCAACCCCTGCATGTTACAGATGAAAATGAGGAAATTGACATTCCAGAAAAATGAAGTTAACTGGCCCAAGTCTACCCAAGATTATTAGCTTAGAGCTTAACTGAGGCCTCCTGATGTCCCTGTCTTGCACATGTGTTGGTACCCATGAGCACCATTTTATATTGTCACTAAGTGGAGTGATTGAGCAGCTGCTGGGAGTGTAATATCTGCAGGCCACCAGGTGGTGCTCTATGCCCTGAGCTACCCACACTTCCTTGGGAGCCTGTGTGGATAGGACTGCTTTGGGCTTCATTTCTCTTTTAACTCCTGTCTGGATTTCTGTTTCATTTCCTTTCCTTCTCAGTCGTGACTCTGCTATAATTATTAAGTTTAACTACACACTGTCCTCTGTTCTTGGGTCCCTTGTCGCCTTGCCCTGTTGGTGCTCGTGCCTTGACAAATCCCAACCCTGTGTTACCCCCACTATCATCTGCCTTGACTTCTACTCATGTGCTGCAGAGTGATACTGGATCAAGTTACCCTGCTGATGATGTCCACTTCAGATTTATGTCTTTGGTTCTCCACTGAGTCCTCATGACAGCAAGGCAATCCGCTTATCCTTCCTTAATTAATTCTGTCATACTCCCCACAGCAGCTGTTCCAAACTTTCTCATCTCTCCTCAAGCTTCCTACACTCCTCCCGGTCCTCTCTCAGGAGAGGGCCTCAACTCATACTTAAGTGAGAAAGTAGAGGCTGTTTACTGTGAGCGCCCTCTTTTCCCCCAGCATCCCCTATACTTACCTCCTTTATTATAGTCTATGACGAAGAAGTGATCTACCGCCACTGTGGTCAGCCTCTATACTTGTACTTTTAGGCTTCCTATCCCCTATAGTAGTTTGCCTTCTTCAGTCATCCCCCACCCCCAATCCCCACCCATCCCCCTTCTCTCTTTTCTTTACTCTTTGGTTGTTGCTTTAAAAAAATGCTCAGGAGTCCTCCATTCTTAATCCTGCTCTTGACCTACCATCCTGTCAAGCTGTTGTGTTATGTGTCCTCCTTTGACAGTGATTCTCCTACTATTTCTCCTCCTTGTTTCGTCTGTATCCTCTCCTCACACTTCTCAACACCTTAAAGTCTGGCGTCTGACCTCATTGTGTAAATGAAACTACTCTCTCCACAATGACTAGTCATTTCTTTTAAAAATATTTTTTGTTAAATTTTATTTTCCTTTCTGAATTCTCTCTATTCCTCTACTTCCCCCATCAGTTGAGAAGGCAAGAAAAACAAACCTATTCCAAATATGTAGTCATGTAGTAAAATTAACTGCATTAGCCATGTTCTGCCTTGCTCCCTCACCCCGCAAAAAAAGAAAGAATAGGAAAGAGACTTCATTTTGCGCTGTGAGTCCATCAGCTTTCTATGTAGAGGTGAATATCATGTTTCCCGTGATTTCTTACTAGTTATGTCTGAGAATCTTTTCTGAATTCTTATCCTTCTTGACATCTCTGCTGTGTTTGATGCTGACCACTTCCACATTCTGGATGCTTGTGGTCTAGGGCCAGCTACATCAAATGGGATAATTCAGCTTGTGCTCATTCAAGTTAGGCCCAAGGCAGGAGTTCTTTTTTTGTTTGTTTGTTTTTTGTTTTTTTGCACTTACTAGTATTTTATTTTCCAATTACATGTAAAGATAGTTTTCAGCACTCATTTTTGCAAAGTTTTGAGTTCCAAATTTTTCTCCCTCCTTCCCTTCCTTCCCACCTCCCCAAGACAGCAAGCAATCTGATATAGGTTATATTTGTACAGTCATCTTAAACATTTCCACATTAGTCATATGGTGAAAGAAGAATCAGAACAAAAGGAAAAAACCATGAGAAAGAAAAAAAAACCCACCAAAAAGTGAAAATACTGTGCCTCAATCAGCATTCAGACACCATAGTTCTTTCTCTAGATGTGGATAGCATTTTCCATCTTGAGTCTTTTGGAATTGTCTTAGATCCTTGCATTGCTTAGAAGAGCTAAATCTAGCAAAGTCAGTCATCGTACAGTGTTGCTGTTACTGTGTACAGTGTTCTCCTGGTTCTGCTTACTTCACTCAGCATCAGTTCATGTATCAAGGCAGGAGTTCTAAAGCTAAGTAGATTAATTTAATCCAAAGACTGGGATCGTTTTTTTCTGGTGGTCATATCAGAGGTGCTGTTGAGAAATGGTTGAGTAGCAGAGTAGACATCAGAATAGACTGCGAAAGACGATCTAGTCTGTCTCATCCGCTCTGTGGGTTTTCTTTTAGGCCATTTTCTGAGCCCTCTTCTTCTCCTAGCATTTCTCGCAGTGAGAGCATGGGTTCATTGGTCATCTCTATGCAGATGATTCCTAGATCTCTTTCCTGAGCTCCATTCACACATCACTATGTACCTGTTAGACGTTTCTAACTAGATATCCTGTAGGCAATTCAAACTCAACATGTCCAAACAAGAACTTATATCTGCCCACCCTTCCTTCAAGAATCTCATAGCTCTGACTTTCTGATTTCTGTTGAGGGCGATGCCGTCCTTCATTCATCCAGGTTTGCAGTCTTAGGGTCATCCTCAACTCTTTCCTGTCCTCACTCCCTCGTCAAGGTGGCTGCCAATTCTATCCTACCTCCAAAGTGTCTCTCATATCTGTGCCTTTTCCCTCTTGTACCTGGCCCCTACCTTACCACAGTAGTCTTCTCCTTGGTCTTCCAGCCTTCAGTCTCTCCCATAAAGCTGCTAAAATCAAAATTAGTAAAGCCTGGCTCTGGCCTGTCACTCCCTTGCTTAAGAGGCTGTGATCTCTCCTTCTGGCCCCTCGGATAAAATACAGTCTTCTCTGTTGGGTGTTTCAGGGCCTTCAGAATCTGATGGCAGCTGACCTTTTCAGGCATCTGTATGTCACTGCTCCTCACATTCTTTATTCAGGCTGTACTGTCCTATTGTATTTCACGATATGCATGCAACATTCTTTCTTCTGTGTCTTTGCCTTTGTACAGCTGTTTCCCATGCCTGGAATCAAATCAGCCATAATTTATTATTAATAATAACACCTAGGATTTATATAGGACTTTAAGGTTTGTGGTATGCTTTACAAATTATATCTCATTTGAGCCTCAAGACAACCACGGGAAGTAGGTGCTATTATTACCCCCATTTTACAGATGACAAAGCTGAAGCAGACAGCAGCTAGTAAGTCTCTGGAGCAGGATATGATCTCAGATCTTTCTAACTGCAGGCCCGGCACTGTCCACTGCGCTGCCTCCCTGGCATTGTGTTCCACAGTTTGCTGTGTATGCTTCAAGCATTGTTGTAGGCACTGGAGCATTTGTATCTAGGCAGACAGAAAGAAGAGACCACTGTCCCTACTCTCATAGAACTTATATTCTAATGGAAGGAATGAGTATATATACAAATGTACATCAAATAAATGTATAAAGAGAATCAATACAAATAAATAAGTTTATTTTTATATTTGTGTGTGAATATATATGTATATATATTCACACACAAATACATATATGTGTCTCTAACAGACCTACATACATATATCTGTATGTATATATGTCAGGCAGAAGTAGCTTTTTCCTTCAATCATTTTTTCAGTGAAATAATCTAAGCCAATTCTTTGAATGATGTTAAAAGATAAGTTTTATATTTTACTTTAAAATAGAATTTTCTGTCTATATTTTTGTCATTTGTTAGAAATTTAATAAAATTTTACTTGAAAAGCCACAAGTGGAAAAATTTTACCTTTTCCCCAAAAAATCTAAGAAGAAAGAGCTCCCCTTAAATCAAATGTTCACATACTTTTTTTGTGTCATGGACCCCTTTTGGCAGTCTGGTGAAAACTATGGATTTCTTTTCAGAATAATGTTTTTAAATGTGTAAAATTAAATATAGATTAGAAAGGAAACTGATCATATTGAAATACACTTATAAAAATATTTGAAGAGCAAAACAAGTTCAGAGATCCCAGGTTAGCACCCCTGCCCTAAAGTAAAGAAGCAGTGGGGGTGATGGAGCTGATATTTGGCTGGTTGTAACCTATTTCACCTAAAATAGACTTCCTTGCTGTCTAGATTTGTTATTTTGAAACTTACATTAATGTATTATATTGACTTGGAAGATATTATGGGATATCAGTTAACATGGCAAAACCCATTCCCTTTAAAGTAGACATTCTTACTCTCATCTAATTCTGTAATTTTTAAACTTTATTAATGAGTTGCAGTGAATTGGAATATATTATAGGAATATTAATTAACGTAGAAGAGGAAGGTATACCTACTTGAAAACAGCAGGGAGGGTTATAGCACATTACACACATGTGTTTTATGACATTTTACTTTGTGTGTAATCTTTATCTATATTTTTCATTACCTAAGAATTGCTTTCTAAACTTGTTCTCTCTTTACTGTAGTGATTTTTATTAGAGATCTGTCTTGATGGATTTGCAGAACCAAATTTGGGTGGCATGGGTGCAGATGCACATTCATACATATATTTGTATGTCATTCATTAGCATAAGATGTGAATCTAAAGATTTAGGATTTTGTGAGGAAGTTAAGCCATTTATTTTGCAAGTATGTATCTTTTTTAAAAAATTATTTACTTAGTGTGTTATTTTTCCCCAGTTACATGTAAAAACAGTTTTTAACATTTTTAAATTATGAGTCCCAAGTTCTGTCCTTCCCTTCCCCCAACTCCCCTTTTGAGAAGGCAAGCAGTGTGATATTTGAAAAATTAAGTAA